TAAGAATATCTCTTTGGGTTTGAGACTTTAGTCTTTGCAACTTTAGGGATCTTATCTATTCACGAACAGCATGTAACACTCCAAAGAGAAAGGAAAACTTGAAATCGCATCATATGACCCCTTTAAAAATGTTTATCCTTTTCCTAAAATATTAAAGTAGGTAAATATTTAAATGTGTAAAAAGCAGTTTATATTTTATATAATACATAAATAGTATATGTATAAAATATGTATAAAACAAAATATTTAATATATTATAATATATTAGTATAATATAATTATTTTTTTATATTATAGAATATAATATATTTAATAGTTTATTTCATTTTATATTGCTATGGTATTATACTGTATTATACTATATATTATATATTATTATATATTAATATATATTATTACAATTAATAAAAAAATATGTGTGTGTGTGTGTGTGTGTATTTTTGTTTATTTATTTTTTTAATTAATGAAAAACATTTTTGAAATATCTGGAATGTATCTGGAAAATATGTAATTATAATTATACTCTTACATAATAATTTCCAACTTGTATTTAGAATAAAACAGTAATACTATCAAATTTGGTACATTTTTACTTTTATTTTATTTTATTTTATTTTATTTATTTACATTTTTATGCAAGAAACACCACCTAAGAAATGTGTCTAATTGTAATCAGTTGATGCCAAAACCAGCGTAACTTTTTACAGCCTTTTTAAAACAATTAGTTGACTAGCTGCCTATTCAGGCAACCCACTGGCTTGGTTTTGAAAATGTACAATTTTGTACATCACCAGATTGTAGTTAAACACTAGTATCTCTGCGAATCTCAGTTCATGTTGCCAAGTTTTTTTTTCCCCCAACAGAAAGCTGCTTGAGTGTCTTCAGTTTTATAGGACACCATCATGAAAGTGATGTGTTTGCATCTTTTTATCTTCACCTGATCAGATTTCTCATGTTCCCTCAATTTTTATCTGAGAACTGAAAGCTAGTCCACAACACTCGTCATATTGCTTTGTACAGGGATTTTAAATACCAGTCAAAAAGAGCCAGTTCAAAAGGAACATAAGAGTGTTTAATAGAGCATTTTAATGAGAGCCGTGCCCCCGGCTGTGCTGCAGTGAACTCGCTGGCCCTATCACTGGAGGCTGGGGCTCCACCGGTGTGCCTGTCAGTCCACATTACCGCTTCACTTCTGCCATTAAAAGACAAAAATCCAGCTCACACCACCCGCATCCCCCCCGCCCCCAAACACAGAGAGAGGGACAATGCCCAGGACCGGCTGCTCAGCCAAAGCCCAAGCCTGAGCTCAACAGCTACGGGTTTACACAGCACTCAGGGATTTATTAATAATGTTGCTCTGAGAAACTTGCTAATGGTTTTTAGAAAATACATGTTATGTGCATCAAATAAGGAAAAACGGTGTAAGAAAATCTGTTATTATTATTATTATTAAAAATGGATATTTAGCCTCAGGGAAGGAATTTCGAGAGTAAAAAAAAATAAAAATCATGTTTCTTAATACCATAAGAACCTCCATTTTAAAATTCATCCTCCATTAGGCCTATAGGTATTCCCATTAATGTTTTCAAGTCTTTAATACTTTGTTTTAAGCTGCGATCAACTAGGAAATTACTTTGTCATTTGACACAGTGGAAATTCTTGTGGAGAAAAGAATGATTCTGAGATCCATTTCAGATGGAAATGCTCGTAATCTGTCCCTCTTATTCTCATCCAGAATACCGCAAGGACATATGAATTTATGTTTTTCACTGAGAGAGTACTACTTGTATTTCTCATAAATTGCAGTCAAAGAGAGCAGCGGAATGATGAAGTACCACTTACTGCAGACTCTTTGGAAAACCGATCACCTCATCAAACCAAAATAACTTATTTTCATATATAATGACTTGCTGTATTTTATGGACGCATACCTGTGGTGGATTCTCTCCAGGCATTCTGGAGTTTCTTGAACTTTAGAAAACTGCATTTCCTTGAAAACTCGGCTAAAGAAACCATGGCTGCTTAGAATAAACAAGATTCAAATGCTAATAGCATTTTGTTGTTGTTTTGTTGTTGCCATTCCATTCCATGAGTTTTATATACACTACTATTCAAAAGTTTGGAGTCAGAAAGAGTTTTTTTTTTCTTTTGTAAGAAATTTATATTTTAATTCAGCAAGGACACATTAAATTGATCAAATGTGATGTAAAGATATTTATAATGTTCTAAAATATTTTTCAAATAAATGGTATTTACAGCAAATCAACAAATGTTATTTGCTGTTATGTATATCGAAGAATTGAATCACCGTTTCCACAAAAATATTAAGCAGCACAACTGTTTTCAACATTAATGATAATAAGAAATATTTCTTGAGCACCAAATCAGCATATAAGAATGATTTCTGAAGGATCATGTTACACTGAAGTCTGAAAATTCAGCTTTGCCATCATAGGAATGAAAAGGCTTCAAAAAGACCAAAAAAATACCATAAACGTGGTCCATATAACTTGTGCACTACATGCCAAGTCTTCTTAAGCCATATGATTGTTTGTGTGAGGGAAAGACTGAAATTTTTGTTGAAAATCTTGCTGGTCACCAATCATTTTCCATTGCTTGGGAAAAGAGCAGCTTGAACATTTCATGAAACTTCTGTTTTTTGTTTTGTTTTGTTTTCGCTTAAGAAAGCAAGTCTATACAGGTTTCAAAAGACACAAGTGTGAGTAAATGACGGATGAATATGACTTTGGCTTGTCTGTAATATTTTCCCAGAGTGTGTAGTCCTGTCATCAACAACAAATTATGGGGGTTAAAAAGTTACATGCGCCTGAGGAATTGAATTTTGTGATTGTTTGAAATGGTTCATCTTCCTATTTGGAGTGTTAGTCTAATCACATCTGTCTTTTCTAGTGTTGTTTGGATGAATCTCTCCAACATACACAATGGCATGCTCAACTCCTCAACAATCCCATCCTTCTCACACACCATCCCATCATTCAGTGCAGTAAATCAAGACACGGGGCCTGTTCTGCCCATTGAAACTAGTGCATGGAAAAACACTTAATCAAAGCTCAGGATCGAAGTTTACAGAGAAACTAAATAGCACAAGACATATTTTTTACACAACATTGTGCGCTTAATATTCCTGAGCTCTGATCGGTAACAGAGAAAGTATAACAACCTGAGGCCTCGAACTCTCTGAGCGGTCAACCATCAACTATATGCCAACTATAAATATGTGTAATGTATAAAACGTCTGTCTTTGGGCTTAACAGCTGTAATTATACAGAGATGGCACACGTGAAAGAGTATCAGTGTCGTTTATTTGACCAATTTATTTTGAAAAAAGATTAAAATGGTCTTAAAATGCTCAGATATTGTCTTACCTATTGGCATATAAACAGAATCACTTTCCTCCCTACAAACCCAAGCAAGCATGCCAGGAGCAAACCTCAAATACTCTGCCACCCCGCTGCTCCAGCTGAACCCTGTTTAAGGCATTGATTGGATTTAAGGCACTGTGATTTGTTTGATCTTTAAACCATAAGTGCAGTTTTACCAGCAGCTATAGTGTTTGCCAGCTTTTTGCTTCTTTAAGCTTGTAAATGATAGTGAAGTGTTACATGGGCTTCCAGGGTCTTTGTTTTAGTAGTCAGCCTGAAGCTGCAGTTGATATAATGGCTCCTCTATATCCAAAACTGCACGGGTGCCAGAGAACTGTGAGTACAACGCAGTGGCCAGTTAACATGGGAGCTCCAGAACTATAGACATTATAGCTGATCTTTGTTGGAAATGCTGTTGTATTTTAAAAAATGTTTTTGAAAGAATCCCCTTATATGCCCATCAAGTCAACTTTTATTTGATCAAAAATACAATAAAACCAGTAATATTATGAAATATCATTACAAATTTAAAATGACTTTTTTTTCTATTTTAATATATTTTAAAATGCAGTTTATTCCTGGGATAGAAAAGCTGAATTTTCAGCAGTCCAGTGCTCAGTGTCACATGATCCTTTAGAAATCATTCTAATATGCTGATTTGATGCTCAATAAACCTTTCTTATTATTACCAATGTTGAAAACAGTTGTGTTGATTAATATTTTTGTGAAAACTGATACTTTTTCAGGACTCATTGATGAATAAAGTTCAAAAGAACTGAATTTATTTGAAATAGACATCTTTTGTAGCATTAGAACAGTCTTTACTGTCATTTCTGACCAATTAAATGCATCTTTGCTGAATAAAAATATAAATTTGTATATGGAACATACAAACATGGGATTTTCATGATTAATTTGAATTAATTAATAGTTTCTAACGATTTATTAAGGATTATGCAATGTATTCATTTTAATGTTCTTAATGAAAACATTTTTTATACTGAAGGGCCTTGGCTTGGCTGAGATTCTGTGTGGTGATCTAAACTCATTCAGGATTGAGAACCTCTCTAATGTCATCTTTATTATGATCTTATTTTTCATGAAAAGATTCTCAGATGAACTCCTACACGTTATGTATCCAGCTATGTTTATTTCTCATTTAATTGTTACCTTTTTTTTATCACCCTCTCTACAGCTCCATCTGCTGTGTCAATCATGCCTCAGGCCAGTCGAACCGTGGACAGTATCACACTGTCCTGGTCCCAGCCAGACCAGCCCAATGGAGTCATTTTGGACTATGAGCTGCAATATTATGAGAAGGTAATAATTCATCAAATACAAACATACTGAAAATTGTCCAGCTATTCCCTCAAAAAATAGAAACATTCAATGAAGTTTAATTGGAGTGAACTTCAAAAAATCCCTTTCAATAAATAATAATAATATTTTGGGATAAATTAGTTATGCTCTTAAACAAGCTTAAATTAAGATTAATTAAGAGTGGAATTTGAGCTCAGGCCACATTAAGGGCCTGTGATCCCTAAATGAAGGGATTTTACTTTAATGAAGAACTACATTAAATACACTACATGAATAGGTGATGTTAGTTTAACACATAACACTCAAATCAATTTCCAATGTGTCTGTGAAGTTCTGGATTTCTGTACATCCCGTTATGATAATGAAATGGCTAATATAGTCCCAACAAAGTGTATTAAGTAAATTTCCATTGTGCTAATTTAAATTAACTATGTGCAATGAAATTAAATTGTAACAAAAAAAAACGTTCAAAAATTGTTGCATTAGCATAATTATAATTAACTAAATTGGTCAAGCAGCAAAACCAAAAGAAATTAAACTGAATCATTGACATTTCTTCTAAAATGTGGACCATTTTATTATTCTAAACATGACTTTAATTGCTTCTGTATGGATTTTGTTGTATGTGATCTCTCTCGTTTGCAGCTTGTCCAGAACTCAGCTGCCAGACTTTTAATAATAATAATATTTTGGGATAAATTAGTTATGCTCTTAAACAAGCTTAAATTAAGATTAATTAAGAGTGGAATTTGAGCTCAGGCCACATTAAGGGCCTGTGATCCCTAAATGAAGGGATTTTACTTTAATGAAGAACTACATTAAATACACTACATGAATAGGTGATGTTAGTTTAACACATAACACTCAAATCAATTTCCAATGTGTCTGTGAAGTTCTGGATTTCTGTACATCCCGTTATGATAATGAAATGGCTAATATAGTCCCAACAAAGTGTATTAAGTAAATTTCCATTGTGCTAATTTAAATTAACTATGTGCAATGAAATTAAATTATAACAAAAAATAACAAAAATTGTTGCATTAGCATAATTATAAATAAAGTTTGAGTCGTGGTGTTGAAAGTGCTTTATAAATAAAGTTTGAGTTGAGTTGAGTTGATTTCTGATCTTTGTTTCAAATCTAGAATATGGCAGAGTCGAACTCCACTCTACTGCGGAGTCAGACTAATACAGCGGTTATCTGGGGCCTGAAGCCAGAGACCATCTACGTCTTCCAGGTGCGGGCCAGAACAGTGGCGGGCTTTGGACGATTAAGTGGGAAGATGTACTTCCAAACAATGACTGAAGGTACTGGACTTTAACAAAAGTTTGCCACTAGACATGTTGAATTTGCTTTTCTGCTTTCCCAATTAATAGTCTGATTATTTCTTTACAAGTCAGGTGCCACAGTCTGGCAAAAACTGCTTTCCAGTCTCTGAAATGGCTTTAACCTCAGTGTGTTGAAACACAATGTTAGATCTATGTGCCAAGGGCAAAGCCAGAAACATGAGCCAGTGGTCAAGCCATCTCAGCATGTTGCTTGTTCTCAATACTAATCTGAGACATGTAGCCACGGTCACTTTGACGAAAATGGAAACATTTGACAGCAGGGAAGACTTTGCTACTTGGAAACGCATTTATTTGTGTTTAGCAGGCATTAGAATATTCTGTGGCATGTCTGACAAAATCCAGAAAGTGACTGTTGACAAATTATTATTAAAATGTCACAAATGTAAAAAGTGTTGACAGTCAATCACTAAAGATGAATCAACAGCCTGTGAAGGTTTGTCAGCCAATCAGAATCAAGAATTTAACAATACTGTGATATAAAATGAGGCAACAAATATATTTGAGACAAATTAAGTCAATTTTCTGTGTACACTACCAATCAAAAGTTTGAGCTTAGTAAGTTTTTGATAGAAATATTTTATTCAGCAAAGATGCATTAAATTGATCAAAAGTGACAGTAAAGACATTTATGTACAGTCAAGACATTTAATGTTACAAAAGATTTCTGTTTCAAATAAATGCTTCTTTTGAACTTTCTATTCATTGCAGAACCCCGGGAAAAAATGTATCACGCTCCACAAAAATATTAAGCAGCACAACTATTTTCATCATTGATTATAAGAAATGTTTCTTGAGCACCTAATTAGCATATTAGAGTTAGAATCATGTGACACTGAAGAGTAATGGCTGCCAATTCAGCTTTGCCATCACAGGAATAAACTACTTTTTTTTTTTTTATATTAAATTATGATATATATTTTTTTACAATATGATTGTTTTTACTGTACTGTACTGTAAACGTTTGAATTGTAGTATTTTGTGTATCTTGTCTTTCTGCCAACATTTAGATTGATGAATGCCTCTGTGAATTTTAAATGATAATCTTCATATTTAAAGTGTGTTGTTCTATTGGAAAACCTGAAATGTCATTGGCTAAAGCAGGAAAATGTATAGTATTTCCTGCAGGTCTGCTAAACCTATAAGCAGTATGGAAGCATATAGGTAGCGAAATTCAATTTAAAATGCAATATGCAAAATGGCAATGCAATATTCAAAATGGCAACCCAATATTCAAAATGGCATTGTATTTCTGTATTTAAATTTACATTTTCCATTACCCATACGTGCAAAGTTTGGTGCAAAAGTAAAATCAAAATTAAATTATATAATTTACATTTGCCATTTCCAACAGTAGTCTTAATATGTAAATTGCATGCAAATTTGAACGCTTTATAAGTTGCGGAATGAAAATGAAAATGTATAACACAAATTGATTTGATATGTGTAACATGTCCAAGCAGAAATGGTAGCATAATGATCATTTAAATGCTATTTGTCCTAAATGCATTTAGACTAACAGTTTGATTATGTTATAACACTTTTCAGTAACAATATTTCATATTACAGTAAATGTATATATTTAAACATAGGCCTATACATATATTTACAACAGATGTTGCAAATTTAAAGATGGTGTTGATAAATCACATTCAATTAATGTGAAGATCTAGTCAGGGTTCTCAGTCCCGCTCCTGGAGGGCCAATGTTTGTTTTTAACTCCGCCAGATTTGTTTTCCTTTCCTTTCATAAAGTATAGAGTTCAAGTTACCTCTGAGTGTTACAATTATAGGATATTTCAGAAACTTAAAAAAGCTACTACACTTTACTGTAATATGAAATATTGT